GATTGCCAGGGCGCTCATTCGCCAGCCACGATTGCTGCTGTTGGACGAAGCAACATCAGCGTTGGATACTCAGAGTGAAAGGATCGTGCAGAAAGCACTCGATGAGGCTGCGATGTCGAGGACGACGATTGCCGTCGCGCATAGGCTGTGAGTACATCCATGTGGAGATACAAGATGATCGATCAATGACATTGCATACAGGAGCACGATTCGACACGCAGATGTTATCTTCGTTATGGAAGATGGTATTATCGCCGAAATGGGTACTCATGAGGAACTGCAAAGATTAAGAGGAAGGTATTTCGCTACGTGCTTGGCGCAGTCGCTCGACCAAGCATGATTTGATACTTATAATACGAGACTTTTCAACGCATGCAGACGTCGCGATACACGTGAGGTCAGACTGTCTAAGGCCATTGTAATTGGCCGACGCGGTCGTTCTCTTTGACGAGAGCTAATTCGCATGTTCAGACCTACTAGTCCGCTCCCGTTTCTACACAGTCGCCTCGCCTCGCCTAGTGTTTTGCTGATCACAGCAAGCGTTCAGTGGTCGGGAGTATTACCATACATCAAGCTGGCACCTACATTGACTGCCATAGTTACTCTCACAGAGCACTCAACGACATGTCTTCCTCAACCAGGAACTCCGAGCTTTCGCTGCTCGCCATCCCAACCAATGATCGGCCATCCTTCGGGGAGAGTTGCGAACGGAGGCAGTGTGTACCGACCATCGCAAGCGCCACTAGTGCACTTCAGGTTGCACAACCCAAGCATTTTGCAATAGCACACACTCGCATTGGGGCAGTAAATAGGGTCTTGCCCAAATATTACTACAAGAATTAGTACACTGGGAACTCCATGGTCAAGGTGGGGTATCTTACTATGCCAGGAATACTCCATAATCCTTCCACTGATTGAGTCTTCCAATGTTGTCTTCAGCAACAAATCTCGAATGCGCTCGTAGTATTCAATTGGATGTTCCTGTATCTTTTCCTTCGTAACAGCGAATTGCGCGCAGCAAGAAACACCAACTTCCCTTGGAACGGCGCGACCCGGGAACAGCTCTTCGAAAGCTTGCTTGTAGAAATGCCCTGCGTGAGTCCGAGGCAGGGCCGGGTCTTTCGCATCTTCGAACGGGCGGATCTCTACCCGGCAACCCAGAACCCATACACATCGTAGATTGAGATACCCTTTTTCCTGTAGGTAGGGAAAGCGAAACTTTCGCAGGATCGACAGACCGTCATAGTCGGGATCGTCGTTGTGCCATTGGTATCTCTCCGCGTGGAGAAAGAGAATGTTTGCTGGCAATTTGTGGTAGTTGTCGATGATGAAGCTATTTCAGAGTCAGTCCTTGCATGGCAAACGACATAATCGCGTAGGGTTGTATTCGTACGAAAGATACACCATCGATTCACGACCCTTGTTCAACGGTACCGTGAGCTCGGCGGTTGGCTCGTCCACTACATAGACATATTTGCGCCACTCTGGAAGCTCATCGTAGAACCAAGACGTGTTCTCATGCTTCGTGGACGCGATGACTAGGACCTTGTCGAACGGGTCTTGGTCAAGAGCGATGCCGTCTTGAGGTTTATTTGGAACATTCGAGCTCAGGTTCCAGAAAGTCAGAACGGATAGGAGTACGAGACACGTAGCGATGAAAGGAGTTCGGATCGGTCGACGGAACGCGGGCATGACGTTGGCGTAGAGTCTTATGATGGAGTTGAAGATGGATGAAGAAGGAACGACGCACAAGTGCGAAGTTTAATTCCATCCCAGCAGCACATGACTGTGGTGTACTTTGGTTGTTGAGATGAGATTTCACTGACAACCATGGTTGCGATACACTGAAGCCAAGGGTTACATTGGACACGTGGTGGCGTAGAGTCTGCTCAAGATCAGGGCATATCTGAGCGATATGCGCGGAATTTTGGCTACAGTCAGTATTGCGGACCTGTCGGCGACGAAGGGTTCAGTTCTGGCCCCCAAATGTCATGCCGCGGTCGATTCCACAAGTGGTTTAGTCTCTGGTCTCGATCTCGGCTCGGTGTGCGTTAGCGTGATTAGGGATCGACGGACGACAACAACACGCTGCGACACAACTCCACGCTCACCAAACCACTGATGTAGTCGCCTGAGTGCTACATCAATAAATCTGGATATTTTTCACACGAAGGTATGCCGCAGCTCCGCCACCGGCGCTGAGGTTTTTAGAGCTCCACTCGCGCAGCAGAGCGACGTGTGTCGTGGCGCCTCCGCTCAAATTCAACATGTGGCAAATCGACGCCATAAGCCACCCATAGTCCAGGACATCGTCACTATCTTGTTTCAGCTGCAGCCACGACAATTTTGCTCCTATTGCTGGAGGCCTTGCCGCAGGTGTGGACCGACCTGCTCTTGGCACGATAACATACCTACGAGATGGATTGACCTCCCTTTTGAGCGCAACGATGATGGTGAGAGCGCAGGTACTAGGAAGGCCCTAACCAAACCAATGCTGCCTTACAGCGTGTGTGTTTTGCATATCTGCAGACAAAGATTAGAGGTAACTACGAGCATGAAGCTAAACGCCAGGCTGCCTGACAACCTTAGGCCGAACGTCAGGCCGATCAGCCAGTAAATCGCAGGCGTGCATTAAGGCCTCCGCCCTAAAATGTGCGATGGCTACTACGATTGGTCTCAATACCGACCGCAGCACAATAGCGGTGCACGGCCTTTCAGTGCACTATCCTCATAAGACCAAATCTTGGCCCCGCTCGCGTGGGTTGTATTTCTCTACCGACCTATTCTCAGACACTTTACATCAGCCTTGTTGCATCTGGCCTTGTTCACTGATTCCGCTTCATCGATGGCTGGCACGGTCATCACGGCCTCGCGATGGGTCTTACTCCTTTTCTGCCTTACTTCGTCTAGTCTTGCGCACACACTCAATAACTTCCCAACACGAGCACTCGGTCATCGACCAGGAACTTCTCCTACACCGCAGGAAGCTGCACTGAACATCAAACGCGCTCTCAAGCAGGGACTCGAAGTTTTCAAACGCGACGTATGCGAAGATGCGTTTCCAGGCGAAGGCGCAACAACAAACACCTGCAACCCCAGCAATACGCTTTGCTGTATTCGAAAGGGAGAAAGCTACCCCCAGTGCCAGAATTTCTTGGACAAGGGCTGGTGCTGTATCGACAACCCCAATAGCGAGCCTGGCTGTTACGTCGACCAGCCATCTGTCTGTGAAGAAGCCGATTCGGTGCCATGCGCGAATCTTGACGTTGGCGTGGACCAGGCATGCTGTCCCGGCCAGACCACATGCGCGTCGGGCTACAAGTTCACGGAGAAGTTCGTACGGTGTCAGATTCTCTCGCGTGACCTGGTTTCGCTAGCCAGTGCCAGTGCCGCTCCGACAAGTAGCTCGAGTATTGAGTCAAGCTCCGCATCGCCAACGTCCGAAATCACCTCGTCTGCATCAGACTCAGCATCACCAACACCCTCTTCCGCTCCTGCTACAGCGTCAGACGTCCTATCGAACGCAGCGTCGAGCGCCATACCGCCACCTCCGTCTAGCGATTCGTCTTCCTCTTCCTCCTCCTCCTCCTTGTCAGGCGGAGCTATCGCGGGTATCGCCATTGGACCGACACTGGCGCTGGTAGTCGGCGTAGGCCTATGGTTCCTTTACAAGCGTCGACAGAAGAAGAAGATGCAGCAACCGTATGCGCCGGCAGTGATGTACCAAGACGCTTACCCAAAGGCCGAGTTGGCTTCTGAGCCTGTCATTCCTGGGCCCTACAAATATCAACATGCTGCTGCAGAGCCACCTCAGGAGATGCCTGTTCAGTACACTTACGAACTCGACGGCGGGGCTCATCGCGGACCGTAGAATAGGAGTAATGCTGTTGCGAGGACACGCTCCTCTGTATAATGTCTATGGCTGTGCCGAAACCCGACATTCACGCCGTCGTGCATTTTAGTCACGTGTAGACGAGAGCACATTGGCTTTGTACTCTCATTTTTAGATCTCTCATATTTTTAATTTACTTACCTCATTCCACCTGAAAATCTTAGGTTACCTGCACATCGCCATCCAAAGCCAATGTCTCCTCGCGGTTCAGTCGTATGAAATTCGGGAGGTGTGGTTGGCTCGTCGTCTCTGGGTCGCCTCTGGGTCATCGCAGTACCATGGGAGATGAGTATCACGCTGTGAATCACCTTCATGTTGACTGGTGTGATAAGTGAAAGTGAATCAGACGTGCCTTCCTCACTACATGTGGCTTGTGCCCGGGGTTACTCCAGAGCTCTTGCCTCCTACCACTCGCGTCCTCACCACACAACACCAATCTTTTTCGAAATCTGCCAAAAATTGCGCAAATGCGAGGACGCGGCTCCCATTCGCAGGGCTTCGGCCAACGTCAAGTGCCGACAGGACCCCGACGAGGGGGCTACAATGCGCCATCTGGAGCACCTCGCGGCAGAGGCGGCTACACCGCGCCACCTGGAGCACCTCGGGGCAGAGGTGGCTACAGTGCCAACTCTGGTGCCAACTCTGGTGCCAACTCTGGTGCCAACTCTGGTGCCAACTCTGGTGCCAACTCTGGTGCCAACTCTGGTGCCAACGGGTACAACAACGGGTCTGCCTATGGCAATGCCCCTGCCCATGCCCATGCCAATGCCGAAAACGGTCAGTATAGGCTGAAGCTCGACGTCAAATTCTACCTTCGGCCCCAAGACTGCGTCGATCAGCTGGAAATTCCGGCCGGCACTGGAATGAGCCGCAAGGATACGACCTGCCTGCATTGTGGAGAAACAAACATTTTCGGGCATGGCTCGTATCATCTGCTCCGCGACGGCTCTTGCCCTCGTCGCTGCTGCCGTTGTGGAACCATGAACCACCAAAGATGCGCAAGTCTTCACCCCTATTTCGAGGGACATCAGATGCTGATCCTCAATAGCTTTGTGACCGATATTGGCTCTCTGCTGCCTTCCTGAAACGTGCGTGCCCGAACGAAGGGATGCGTAGGCCCAAACAGTTGCGCCCATCGCCGCTCGACCTTGAGGTCATTCGACGCGACTACCCAGAGTACCGCGAGTTTGCCGATAGCGTGCTGCCGCTTGCCGACAAAGGACACTACCACCCGTCACAGCAGGTGGCCAAGCGCTCACGGAGTGACGATGAACAGCCGGAACCGAAGCGAACACGGACTGATGCCGGCGGTTCCGAGATTGAAAAGATGAGGGCGGACATGGATGCTCTCAGGGCTGAGAATGAGCGGCTCAAGGCTGAGAACAAGCAGCTCAGGGCTGAGAATGAGAAGCTCAGGAATGCCAGTCGCACTTCTGCTTCTTTCGTCAAGAAAGAGGAAGTCGAGGATGATGATGCCGAAACTCTCAGCGAGGAGTTCGACAGACTTGTTGAAGAAGAGTTTGCTCGAATAAGTCGGTGAGGTAAATGCCAGTGAGGACTATTTCGGCAAGGCTGTGCGTTGGTTGGAGGGCCAAGAGGTGACGGTGTCGTCATCTTGTGAGGACCGCTCATGAGTAGACACTCATGAGGACAGCTCGTGAGTAAACGCTCGTGAGTAAACGTTCGTGAGAAACGTTCGTGGGGAAGGAGAAGAGATGACCGTTTCGTCGCCTTTATGAATGCCCTAGTTGATGTTGGAAATAACTGCATTGTGCCTTGCCGCTTTCAGCATACGAAGATATGTAGATAGCGGCATCAATGAATATGACTGTATCAATGTACGTATAATCTGGTTCCTGCGTTCGGCTTTCGAGTTCTTGTGTTTGAAGATATCTCAGCCTGTTATCCATCTTAGCCATGTAGTTGCTAGGCTTCAGACAGAACGGCATGCATCGCTAATGAGACAGAACTTCTCGGGTGTTTGAAATCATGTTCTCTCTTTCGGCACATACATTTCGGCTGATTATACGCTCCAATATCTTGCCAAATTATCGTACAGTTCCTCCTCGAGCGGGCAAAAAGGAACCTACATCGGCAGTGACATGGCGAAGGAACTAGGGCTTTGCGTCCTCAATGTAGGCAACATCTGACCAAAGTCGGAACACATTCTCGAGTCGCAGGGCGCTTGTGTAAGTTGTTCGCGGTATACCTAGGTAGACAAATATGAACGAAGCATCTCAGTGACGTAGCCGAGGGCATTCTGACACGGGGTTGTGCTCCTGCTGCTTTCCATAAGCGGTGTTGACGGACCCACTTTTCCGCGCACTCACCTTACAGTCAGTCCATGATACCTTTCCTCTCCACCACCAACATCCATTGCTTTTTAGCAACACCACGCTGAGATGGAAACTGCCGGTATGTCTCATCAGCTGGCACTTTCAATCAACAAGCTAACAGATCGCAGCAGAAAAGGCGCAGCAGCGCATCATCCACTTGCGGGGGATTATTGCCTATGGGAAGACGCAACCCAAACGGTTCATGCCCTACCTTCAAAAATGGGAGGACAAGATTGCCAGTCTTTTGCCGATCGCCAACCCTTTGCCGGCGTCGCCAAACCCAGAGACGAGTGCCGCTCCTGGGAAGGAGGAAGAGAAGATTGCCGAACTGAGCGGAAGCCGGTGGGTTCCCGAGAGTGCCCTCATGAAGAAGTACTTCGGAAACGAATTGCCGTTGCCACCTACGAGACCATCGCTGTCTCCGCTCCCACAAACCCCTGCCCCTGCCCCGGCCACGACCTACAAGGGAATGACGACTGCCGGGTCCGCCAACCCTCTGCCACCAGCCGCCGCGCGCCGTGCCGCGAAGGATGCCTGGTGCAAGGAGCATGGCCTGGATCCCGAACGATGAGATCAACGGGTGGAAGTACGCGGAAATCCGGCGACGTGGGGCAAGATGAAGATCTGAGCGGATTATTCCCTTTGGGGTCCCATATCTGATACGGCCGTTGCCAGGGTACCTGCTGGAGGTGTGTGGGAAAATGGGTTTCGCGAAGACTGCTCGCTGTAGTCAGCGAGCGGCATGGGAGATGCGTAATTCCGTTCGACGATTCCGTCGAGCAGGTAGCACATGGAAGCGCTGGACGAGCGGTGCCTCTGGTTTGTGATTTTGCCGAGATGTAGCATAATTAGTCATTTCAGGCATTGCCTTTGCCATTTTCAATAGTCTGCTTTCATGATATACCATCCGTGGTGACTGTATTTCTCTGTCGTCGTGACAGTAAGTTGCGTTGCTTTTCAACTCGCTGCTATCATTACCATGGAGTTACTACTGCCTAGGAATTTGAGCGGCGTTTTGAGGAATGGCGGCTGGATGGTGTAGCGGATGTGGTGCGACTTCCTGCCCAAATCACCACGGCTACGTCAACGTTTGTCATCCGATTCTTCGTGCCTGCCCTCACGAGCGTGATTACCAAGTAGCACGCACACCTCCTCTGCCAAAATTGTCGAGCAACTGCAACTCTCTCCCACACACATTCACGACATGGTGACCAACCTGCCCAACGCCCCTGCCGAGCCCACTGGCATCACTGCACTGCTGTTTGCCGAATCGCGTGCCAGGAAGGCTGAATACAAAAACATCATGCGCGGGAGGCAGAACTGCACGGTTGCCGCCACTTTGGCTGCCATAGCGAAGGAAGACAATCGCCCTGAGCGTTCCAAGAAACGTCGGAGAATTCGCTCCGCTGCCGCTGCTTATTATCCAGAATTGCCAGCTTCCGAGACCGATAGTGAACCTGACAATTCTGGGGAGGAGTTAGAAGTGCCAACACTACAAGAAGATTCTGCGATCTTGCGACAAGCACTGCCGACGAGGAGCGCAGGGAAACGGCAAGCCAGTGCCGAACACGCTTTGAGCAATCGAACCAAACGTCAATCGCGACGCTCTCGAGACGGCGAGTGCCCGTTTGCCAGCGATGCCGAACCCGAATTTTCTGTGCCTGCGAACGCCTCTTCGGGGTATCGTGCCAGGAAATACCCCATGGCAATACTGCTGCCTATCCAAGATGGTCGTAACGTCGTCATACGCAACGGCATTCCTGCCCAACTTACAACACTGCTTCGTGACGAAGTCAACAAATGGCTCACGGACGACTTCTCTATCGCAATCTGGAATGATGCCGACCATGGAGGGAACTACGTTTGCATGCTCACCGCGAGCGAGGGCTTTGTCGGCTCCCATCATCTCCCGAAGGATCATGGGGCGTTCAGAGCGTGCCGAACTTGCTCTACAAGCATCGAGGACGGCGGGTTAGCTGCCCCAAGGCCTTGCATCATGCTACGCGCAGATGCGAAGGGGGAGTACATACTGTTCCTGCCCTTGCCAGATGATCTGCGAATGGGAAAGGGGTGGAAGGAGAGGGGTTTCTGGGTGAATGAGACGCCAAGAGCTCCTCCGCCCCTGCTCGATGTTTTGCGCGCGCGAGGTAGTCGCAATGTACGCCTCAAGCGTGGCAGTATAATCGGGTTGCCCACCGGAGGCTCCGACATAGGCTGACGGATCTGATGTGCCAGTTACAGAAGGGCTTGCTGGCGGAAGTGCTGCAGGACCATGGTAATTCCAGGGCACGCTCGATGGATTCATCGACCGGCGTGGTTCATGCGTGACGGAACCGTCACGCGTTATGAGAGGACTTGATGACGTCATCAAGCGGTAATTCCGATCGATTGATTCATCGATCAGGTTCGTTAGATAGAGCACGCGTTGCCTTTGCCAATACTATGCATCGATATCTCATCATCTTTTACTCCAGATCTCGTATGACAGTTTCGTGAACGTTCAGGTACGCGGCCAAGTATATTGAGACTGTCACGCATAGAGACCTACATAGTCTGTGCAATTCCTGGTCTGGCATGATGGCAAGACGCAGCGCGAGAAGTAACCTCACTATGGTGGTGTTGACAACGACAACACGTTGCACGCTTCTGATCTTCACGCGTTTCTCGATACGCTAGAGATCATCATGACATTTCCCTCATTTTCAGCGCGCTGGAGCCCATCAGCGCTATTCTTTCGTTTTGTCAACTGTGAAGTGCAGACGTTTCCGGATCTCATGGAGCGGAGATCTTTGCGTTTTGGAAGAGGAGCAACAGCAAACATCAGAAGTTTTGAAGGCGCCTTTGATTATATATCGTAGCATGGTGGTCGTAGGGAAGTTAAAAGCTAAGGCAGGTATTTATATTCCTCTGGAAGGATAGGCAGCTTGCCGAGTTCTGCTTGTCCTACAGCCTGTTTACCTCTCTTTTTGAGACACTGAGAGATGAGAACATAACAGAGTACCGATTTCATTTTGATGTTTGCGGGACACATAGGGTCTTTGAGGCAGTCGGCTGCTGAATATATGCATGAATTAGGAATTTCCAAACAACCATGATTTGCGCGAATGTGTGTTTGATACTGCCTTCTCAAACTCATGCGTCGCTGTTCTGTGGTTTTGGAAAAGAGAAAAGAGACATAACAAGTTCATATCTGACTTTTGGTACCCAGAATCGAAGGTAGTATGTGGAGAGTAGGAGGAGGAAAGCAGCAGGCTTTTATACTGGAACAAGCTCAGCCGCCAGGCATAGCGTCATTGTTAAGTAGTTTTGGAAAGCTTTGTTGCGCTCACAGTCTGCAACACGAGAACATGAAGATATGGTTTCTCTCTTTTCGACAGGAGACATCGTTCCTCTTCCCGTCGATTTCGGTGAAGCGCCGAGCCGGCGATCCCATCGAAGAAGTGACCGTGGCTTTTGAGAGAAAAAAAGAGACTCGCGACATAAAGACTTCGTCGAGATTTTTCGGTTACGCCACCACTTCACATAAATGTAGTTTTTGTAGATTTGCGAGAAAAAGAGAGGAGAAGAGCACATAGAGATTCAAGCTTGTACTTTTAATCGCGAAGATCGGTTGCCGCACATCGTACGCCATCTCTGAGGTTTTGACAATGTCGCAAGCAGGGACAACAGCTATCATATAACTGATGGGCGCTTTTTCGGGGCAGAGAGTCATGGCGCGTTGATTACGCATTTTTTGGTAATAAACCCTGCGAGGGAGGGGATGTAGAAGAGAAGGAAACCAGTAGGAAGACGAGAGGTTTTATATCGGCCATGCACGACGAGAATGAGTCATTCGTTGTTCCTTTTTGCGTTTTGGTAGTTTCATAGTAAGATCGCAACGCCATTTCCGGCACACATATCTAGTAGAGGAGAAGACTTCGGACAGCTTACACATGCCGAGACCCGAAATAGGATTGAGAATGGGAGCGTTGTGGTCTGCTTCGCGACACATGAAGAGTAATGTCTGCCTTTTCGCGTGGGCAGCCCAGGAAACGTCTCAGTCATGACGTATGACGCGAGGCGTTTGAATTTTTGGAAGAAGAGACAGCCATCGGGAATTTTCCTCGTATTTTTGTAGAACACCAGTAAAGGTTGTAGGAAGTGTGGAAGACGAAGCAGACCGAAAGGCAGTGGGTATTTATACACACCCAGGGCTGACGCTCAGACCACTCCGAACATCTCCATCCTGCACGAGCGTGAACTTGATGCTGGACCGAGAGAGGAAGACATCAACGGTACGCATTGCTCTTTTGAAAGCTCCAACATGTAATTGTACCTTCCGGATTTGAGGAATGCATCACCGTGAATCCTGTTTTTCGCACACGCACAGAGATCATGTAGCTGTCTGGGTGAAATTTTGGAAGTCGCAGTCGCGGAACATAATTGCTTTCGATCAGGATTTAGACGACCACTTTGGGGAAAAGAAAGCGTTCTTCTCAGACATGACTATACGCAATTTCTGTTTCTGGAAGCACACACGCATGTGGCATGCCGGATAATTTTTCTGGATTTGAGGAGATGCGAGTCGTGACACATACGAATATGTTGAGTGGCTTTTGGACTGCAATTCTGAAATGAGCGGGGTCTTTCTCCGCCGACATCAGGTAGTCGCTTTCGACTTTTGATGCTGGATGAGGAAAGTTCGAGACCGAGACAGAGAACCATTTGCTTGTCGACATTTGGATTTTCGAGTCCATCGTCGTGACTGTTGCTTGCTTCCACAGAACATGATTGATGTGGGGTAGGATTTCAGTCTTCTCCACACATGATTTGGAAACTCCACACTTTTGTTGCAACGCCGAACCACACGGCCATTCTCTCTTTCTGTGGTGTTTAAGAAGTCGCAATCGCGGAACATAACGTGAAATGTGTGTTTTTTGGATCGGAAGTCTGGATGTGGGAAGCGCGGAGACTGTTTCCGCCATGTGTGACCAACTCGGGTTTTTGGAAGGAAGAACGCACATGTAAGGCTGTGTAAAATGATTTTTGAGTAACCCAGAGAAGAGGAATGATAAAGAAAGAAGGCAGACAGCGCAAGAAGAGAGGTTTTTATACCCACGCTCGCTCAGCTAGCGGCTTGCGAGGGAAGGAAGCCGCGGGAGTCATCGAACCAGGCCAGGTACCTTTTTCGTTCTCCATAAAGCGATTGTTTGCGTTTTTCTCGAACACATGGAGCACTTCTCCGACTTTTCGAAATCATCACGAGAGCCAGCGGCAGTTTTGAGATTGCAGAAGTCCGACAGCCTTCCCACTCATGGAGCATCTGCAACCAGCTTTTGGAGGAGACAGCACATGCATCATCTTTGTACGCTTTTTGGTATTTGAGACATCAAAGTGTGATGCAGAAGACCATAGCAAAGAATGCAACTGATTCTATACCCACAGACAAGCTGCCAGCAAGGACGGTAGTGGTGTGAACGAAGAAACCAGCGCCGGGATACATGAATGTGTCGCCGTTGTGTTTTCTGTTGACTTTTCGGAAGTTTGAGCTATTCCTTTCTCCAACATCATAGTATTGCGATTCGGATTTGGAAGAGGGACCGAGGGCCATGGTGAAGGATGTGTGTTATTTTGGACGGCGGACCGAAGACATGGCCTGGAATAGTTGTGCTTTTTGGATGAACGAGGATGCAGCCCATATGAGGCCAAAAATCTTTTTTGTTTCGGAGGAAGAGGCAGGTCATGGGGCTTCTGCATCCCATTTTTGAGAAATGCTGGTAAATGACTGTGATGAAGAAAAGAAGGAGATCAGGTGCGAGAGATGAACTTATATACCCACCGCGAAGATGGGACGACTTGCGCACTTGCGAGGTCATGTACACACACAGCACGCGCGAAATTCTCGAACGGCGCCTCACATGTTCATTCAACCGGCCAATACCCTACATACCACTCATATCCCTGACATAAATCTACGCCAGCCTCACGTCGATGCCGCAACAACGTCTGCACTCTCCTCAACCCTCCTCTTCTTCTTCCCATGATGCCCCCTCGCCTCGACCCTCCCTTCAACCGGCACCACCCTCGTAGCCGTAAAAATATACCCCTCCGCGCCCCCCTTGCTCGTCATCATAGGATGCGTGCGGCCAGGAAGAACCTGCCACTGTCTCGCTCTTGCCGTCTGCAGACTAGGTGCGAGAACCAACGTGGGGTTGAGCGGGAAGTCGTCTTCTTCGTTATCGGCTTCGGATGTGCCAGCGGGTGTACTGGCGTCCTCTTCGATCTTCACCCGTTTGCCGTTCGTGTTGGCATTGCCATTGATCTGCGGCGGAGGACCAAACTCGCGGGCTATGTACGCCGCGCGACGCTCTTTCGAGTAAAGATCGCACAACTCAACCAACGGCTCAACATTAGAATTATACACCACAATCCTCCCACCCCCCTTCACAAGCGGCACCAACTCCCTCAACACAGTCTTCGCATCCATCGCCGTCGCAACAACCAACCCATCAAACCCACCCCTCTTCGTCTCATCCACCACACCCTTAACCCTCTCCCAACGTCTGCGCTTCTTGTAATACGTACCGCGCTTCGTTGACTTCATGCTCGCAAGGACTTCCTCGGAGATTATCTCGGGCTCGTCGTAGGAAGGGTCGTCTTCGGGGTGGAGGAGGGCGAGCCAGGAGAGGGATTTGAGGTGTTTGTAGAGGGGGTGGGCGGGCGTGGGGTTGCCGTAGTCGTAGCCGAAGTATTTTAGGTAGGAGAGGTTGGGTTGGTTGTTGGGGTGCAGGACGGTGAGGGTGTTTGTTTGGGCGGACATTTGCGGGATGTGTGGTCGTGGGGGCTTTCGCGGGCGGGGAGGGGGATCTGAAGGGGTGGCTGTGGGGTCTGTGGTTGTTGTGGTGTCGGCGTCGGGCATGGCGGTGTCGGTGTCTTTGGGCTCTGGGGCGGGGGCTGGTGCTGGTGTGCTGTTCATGTCGACGTCAGCTGCCTCTTCTTCTGACGATGAGTCGTCGTATTCCTCCTCTGCGTAGAGGATGCCCATCTTCTCGGCGAGTGCTGCTGTGACAAGACCTCCGGTATCGTCCACCACGAGCCATCGCCCTCCTCCTACCTGGCTGACTCCATCGTCCGCCAAGTGAATCTGGTTCGTCGCCCCAGAGTGTATGTTTGCCCAGCTGTTGATCAAGCCCAGTAGATCTTCCCTCAGCTCCATGATCTTGTATGCTTCCTTCTCTAGCACATACTCTGTGAGCAGACCAACATCCATGGGCAGGGCGGTGAAGCGCTTCAAGTACTTCTTCGACTTCCGCAGGGTGTACTTGGCCAGCGAAAAGCTTGTCTTCTCGTCAATCGCATTGTGGGATGCCATGATCTTGGCGATGATCTCCTTGCCAGAGCCTGCGCCTGCCTTTTTCAGCTCCTCAATCTCAGCCATGGATAGCGCCTGCCGTGAAGCATCGTCAACGGTCAAGCGGTTGTTGCGCATGATGACCTGCCCATCTTCTCCCACGATGTCGAAGCCCGTAGCACCCGCAGTACCCTCGGCATTCTCTTCGCTAGTTTCTGCAGCAGGCGCATGGTCGCTGCCTAGAGCTTCGGCGTGGAGTTCGGAAGCGGGTACGACGCGCAGCTCCGTCTTGGATTTGCCATCGTCCTTGTCGAGCAGTTCGTAGGTGAGATAGTACGGGCGGCCGAGGAGGAGGTTGGAGTTGAAGGTGCCGAATTTGCCGAGATTGATGCTCCTGTAGGGTGTTAAGAAGAGATCCTCATCTATATGCACATGGAGGGCTCACTCCAGCTATGCGACGTACGTATTCGGTGTAATCTCGACTATCTTGAAGAGGCCTGAGGGCAGTCGCAGCGCAACGTGCGTATTGGGGCGGACGTGGGAATGCATTGCGCGAATGTGGTCGCGACACTGTGTTGGTCACTATTCCATGTGTAGTTATGGTTAAAGGCCTTAGTATGGAATCTCAGTCGCGAGTTCTGCACGCGCAAAGGTGAGGTGGAGCTAGTGAATTTGTCGCAAGGAATAGTTCCGAGGCGCACCGCCGCGTCTTACTCAGCCACAGGCTCAGCCACACACTCGCACCAGTCGTGCGTCATCGCCATCGCGACTTCTGCTACTTGGGCGTGTCACTCGGGTCCAACACGTCGCTTACGTCGACTACTTTGCTTCTTTCGCTGGAGTCCTGCTTCAATATCAATCCCCTTCACCCACCTTCCTCATACTACCGCGCCGCGCCCACTGTCGCGAGAACTCTTCCATATTCCACTCCAAGCCCCAGGGCACTGCACCGTAAACATGGTGCTACGAAAGTCCGACGAAGCCGACGACGTCGTTCCAGCGCCGCTGTCCAAGGCGATCCCCCCATATCCCACGACACCCTCCGACGAGCACCCGCCTGCCTTTCCTGTATCGCCCGAGCGTGCCGTGGACCCGCCCAGCACGAGCAAGTCGCCAGCGTTCAACATCAAGACGCCCGAGGAGACGCGACTGCCTGACGACAAGCACGAGAGCGACTCTGACCTGAGCGAAGACGAGTGGAACCAGTCTGATGACGACTTTGAAGACATCAACCACAACGATGTGCCTGCCGCCCTGAAGCCGGCTGCCGGAAAGAGGCCAGCTGTGCCAAGTACTACACACATCACCAGCGGTCTTCCCGATGCTTTGAGGCCAGGGCCGCCCGCAGGTATCCCCATCAAGCGCTCACAGGAAAGCATCTCAGCCACGCCCACCGGTGCCAGCGCGGCTTCTTACGGCGCAGCCAGCACAGTGTCCGAGCAGTCCAATGGCTCCATTCCGCTGAAGACCAACAACCCATATCTGAAGATGCAGACGACTGGACAGAACAGCTGGGACGGAGAGAGCAGCCAGGCTATCTGGGGCGATGCGCCGAGCCACGCCCACAAGTACGAGGCGCCCGTCGAGCTCCCGGCCTTCCAGACGCCAAGTACACCCACCCACGACATGAAGAACCTCGGACTAGATGACCATGCCCCGTCTACGCAGTCGACAGCACCAGTAGAGCCGCCTGTCATTTCCGTGAACTCACCTACACCTCGTTCGGAGCATCCAGACACCTCCCTCGATACGAATCCGTGGGAACCTGCCTCGCACGATGCTCATACCGACACTGTACCCTGGACGGCACCGCCAAGCGATGCAGCTGCCCGTAATGAAAGCTCACACAACATTCCCGCCCCAATCATTCCAAATGCGAATACTGTAGAGCAATCGTCTCTTCCACCTCAATACACGCCCGAGCAAACACCACCCTCCTCCGAAGAACCTCCACCTGCGCTGCCGCCAAGAAGGTCGCACGAGGACATGGCGCCTGCAATGCCTCCTAGACCTATCGACACAGCTATTGGTTCGTCCGCTCCTCCTGCCTTGGAATCGCCGAATACGACAATGGAGAGGCAGAGGAAGGAACACTACCAAATCAAGCACATTCGCTGGCTTGACCACACCATCGACGACATGCGCGTTTCGCCTATCCTGACGCAGAACCTGAACGGCCCCTGCCCTTTGCTGGCTTTGGTCAACGCACTAGTCCTTTCGACTCCTGCTAGGCTTGACACTGCACTTGTCGAGACATTACGCACACGCGAGACAGTCAGCCTGGGACTACTGCTTGACGCTGTATTCGATGAGTTGATGTCCGGTCGACGCGGTGATGCAGCACAAGCCTTGCCCGACGTGAGCGAGTTGTACAAGTTCCTCCTCGCTCTCCACACAGGTCTCAATGTCAATCCCATGTTTGTCCCAGACTCCAACACTCCAGATTCACAATTCACGCTCACGAGCCTAGCTGGCGCTTTTGAGAACACTCAGGACATGAAGCTGTACCGCACCTTCAACATCCCGCTGATGCACGGATGGCTGCCCGAGGCTGGATCCGACGCTTATGCTGCCTTTAGTCGCGTAGCAGCGTCATATGAAACGTCACAGTTTGTTCAATTCCAGGAAGAGGAGTTGAACGCGAAGTTAGGAGCGGGCGAGTCTCTGAACGAGGATGAGCAACAGATGTTCACGGACATCCACGCCATCAAGGAGTTCTTGATGCGATGGCCAACACAACTGACTGACCACGGTTTGAAGGTCATTCGTGATAACCTCCAGCCAGGTCAAGTCGCTATCCTGTTCCGAAACGACCACTTTTCGACGCTCTGCAAGAACCCTCGCAATGGCGAGCTCGTCACTCTCGTCACAGACCAGGGCTACTCCACCCACGACGAGATCGTCTGGGAGTCTCTCACTGACGTCAACGGCCAAGGTAGCCAGCTCTTCTCCGGCGACTTCCGCTCCGTCGACAACAGCAACGCATCCAACCTACAAGACCAGCACCAACCTTCCAGCGTCGACAACAACCAAGGCTGGACCACCGTCCCCGCCCGCCGCAGCAACGCCCAATCCAACACCCCCCAAGACACCTCCATCCCCTCCCCAGAAGCCCTCAGCCGCGCCGAACAAGAAGACCACGACCTCGCCCTAGCCCTCCAACTCCAAGAAGAAGAAGAAGACCGCGAGCGCCGCGAAACAGAACAACGCAACTCCCGCAACAACCAACTCTCCATGGACGCTATCAACGCTCCTCCCCAGCCGCCGCGGAACAGCCAGAACCCTGTTATCCCGCCCCGTCGCAACAATAATGTTACGGGGCACAGACCTGCTGGGGAAGCGGCGCCGCCGCCGTTGTACGAGGAGGCTATTACGAGTCCGCAGTATGTTCCGCCGGCTGGGCATCCGGCGAGTGCGCAGGCGCCCGTGCCGGGCCAGGGTGGGAGTGGCAGTGCGTATCAGAGTACGAGTGGCGGGTTGCCGGCGCTGCCTGGGGCGGGGAGGGGCAGGCATGGTAATGTTTTGCCTGGAAGGATGGGGGGAGGGAGGAGACCGAGTCAGGGGCAGCAGGGGCAGGGGCAGGAGGAGAGGGATAAGTGCGTTGTTATGTAGATGACGACACTTTCCCCTTTCCCTTTTCCTTTCTTCCTTGCGCCGATCTAGGAGCATGTGGTTCGGGATGGCAGGACTTTGAGACTATCTGCTGACTTGTCATATTAGAGACTCGGATGATGTGCCGTGTTCGTGGTGTACGGTTAGTTAGTATCCGTTGTGAGCGCGGACTGTGGGATGTAAATGTCGTTTTGGTAGTGGTTGGGGTTGTAGTCACGAACTTGGCGTTTGGTGGTGTTGGAGTGTGTATATACCCGTTCTTCATCTTGTTTTGGTAGTATGACGTAGCGGAAGGTGTGGTTTTGTCACGGCTGGAGAAGTATCATTAATCAAATTCCTATTCATCGCTGTTCTTTGGCCTTTGATTCCAAATGAAGCATCTGTCCTTGCATGTTACATTGTATCTAGTGTTGATCCCGTCCTTTCCTACCTAATACACAAGTAAAGGTCAATCATGCCGGCCGGCTCTGTACGCTAGGAACCCCCATTCCCACCAATCTGCCTCGCCCTCTCCCTCCCCTCCATCCGTTTCAATTCTTCATCCCACTCCTCTTCTTCCTTGCTCTTCACACTCTGTCCACTACTTTTACTCCACATGCAGGTGTGTTGACCCGTAGGTCCAGTTTTACCGCCACCGCCACGGGACTGAACGGCTTCTTGGAGGAGAGATGCTTTACTCACGCTCGGAGTCCTCTGCTTTTCAGTCTGCTTCTCATCCCCCTCGATGGAGGAGGACGATAATGCAACATCCCGCCCCTGCCCCTGCCGTTTAACCATCTCGATGAAGGACGACGATGTGGGTACAGCAGACGTCTGACCCAACTGTCTTTCATAAGACGTAGTACCTTGTCTGTTATACCGCGGCATAGGCATGCCAGTCGAGGGGATGTTGACAGGTGCCGGTCGTGGCGCCGGCGGCTTCATATTACAGTACGGCATCGGCGGAGGCGGTGGACGAACAGGCGGTGGTGGGCGGCGCGGTGGATCGAGGCGTAGCGTTGAAAGTGCAGACATCTTGATCGGGGCATGTGTCGGTGATAAGGAGGAGGTACGCTGCGGGTGGACCGGCGTAGTCGGTCTTGATGTCCTTGTAGGAGAGTCATTGGTGTCGGAGTGGTAGTAGTCAGAGGATTCGAAGTTGGAGGGGTCGTCGAACGGGTTGTCGATTTCATGGTCGTTGTTGTGATCGACTGCCTGGTCGTCGTCTTCGGTATGGTAGACCTCGTTATCCATGGCCATGCTGGAAGCCCGACTTTCCCGTTCAACGATAGAAGCGGTTTCGCAGCGCCAACTCGCTGTGCTGGTGCTGCCGCCGCTTGCGCCTCTGACTCCTTCTTTCCATCGTGAGACTTCTTCGTTGTTATACCCGTTGATGTATTCGTCTTCGTGACCATTCTCCCTTAGAGCAGGATGAACAGACCCATTGATCGTCAAACCATCTCCCTCCCCGTCCTTTCCTTCCTCCTTCTTATCCACCATCTCTTTCCCCACCCCACCCTCATCCCCACTCCCACCCCCCTCAGTCCCACTAAACCACCTCAACTGCCTCGCCTTCCCAGCCCCCACCGGCCTCCCCACCCTTCCCACCCCCCTCATCTCCACCCTCTTCCTCTCCATCCTCTTCAGCTCCTCCGCCCACCCGCTCAAATCCTCAATACTGGGTCCCTTATGCCTAGTCCCCCTTTCCTGCGGACTCATCGTACTAGCCGCGCTGATTGAAGGATTCGCAAGACTAGTGTTGATCCAGAGACTACCTTGTCGGTTACGACGGGATGCGGAAGAGGAAGGGGTGGCAGATGCGGTGGCGTTGCTGCGGCGGATGCTGTGGGCGTGGGAGGGGGGTGGTGTGTAGATGTTTGGGTTGATGGCTGAATTGATGGGGTTGGAGAGGGTGTAGTTCCGCGTGCGGAGTGGTAAGGTGTCGGAGTTGGGGTCGTGGGTTGGTTTGATGGGGCTGCTGGATGAGCGTTGGGTTAGGCTGAAATTGTCTTCTGTGGCGCTGCTGCGGGCGTTGGAACTGTTGGTTAGGGTCAAGGTGAGGTCCAGCGTCGAGCTGTTTGACCGCAGGGAATTGGCATCGCCATCTCCTAGACTTCTGACGAAGTTACCGTACTCATACCCCTCGTCGCTGCCTTCGCTCTCCCCGTCTGCGGCAATGTCGGCGAAGTACTGGCAATCATCTACGACTTTGACAGCCCATGCTAGTTTTATGCCTTTCTCGCCTACCGCCGCCTCTCTACTCTTCCGCCGATCCTTGTTCATCTTGAGTAAATCGCGCTGAGCCTCCAGTATAGTCGTCAACTCCCCCGTCTGCGCATCAAACTGCAACCAACTATCCACATCATATAGTTGCTCTCGGCGGTAAATGCGATATTGCTTCGCACCTCCCGCTTCGTCGTCCGCGTGGGAGTCTAGCTTTTGTGGTAGCGAAGCGTCGATGTACGTCGAAAGAGGTTGATGCAGTTGAAGGGAGCGGAGTGTGACTTGGGCGGCAAGGAGGGTGTCTTTTGGACGGACCATGGAGGGGTGAATTACGTCGTTATCGCTATTGAAGGACCGGCGGAGGGTATGGCGACTCGCGCACACTTTCAGCGCCATTTTGTTGACAGAGGTTTTCAGGTCTTCGTAGGTGGCCTTGGCTTCGGCGTCTATAGAAGGAATATTGGGACTCCATGGCGAAGGCGGGACGGCGGTAACAGGTGTCGTTGGAATCGGTATAGCCGTAACAGGCGTCTTCGGTGAAATGAGTGACTCCCAAAACCCGCCTTCTGCAAAAGAATTCTTGATAGCCCCAGCAGTAGCAGAGCGTGGAGTCCCAGGGCCCGAAGACAAGATCTCCCATCGCGGCCGCGGCGTAGTCGGACTCGCCGTCTCGAAACGCGGGAGATGTGCTGGGCGAAGTGGGTGAGCACCCGTTGGCGCAGTCCATGAAGACGAGCTGTAAAGAAGTAGTTGCTGTCCGCCTGGAGTAACGATCGAGTGTACAGGCGGAGGGGGAGGAACCCACCCAAGCACCTTCATGCAATGTTCCTTCTTAGCGCGCAGTATGTTCTTCTTGACCTGCCGCCATTTTGCCTCGGTAAAGCGCTCTTTATTCCAGTAAATGACTTCCTCCCAGAATCTCAGGTGTTGTTCCTTAGTTAGACTTTTTAGTCCTGCGGCTTCGTGTTGGCTGATTGACTTGCCGGTGGCGGGCGAGATGGCGATTTCTTCTTTCGTGAAGACGCGCTCCATTGTGAGGACTCGTTCTGGCATTCTGGACGTATATGGGCGGCTTTGGAATGTAGATGGGAAACTTTCGTGGGTTGCGACAGGAGTGTTTGGCGGCGTACTTGGAATCCCTTGCGATCTGGCGAGCAGATTGAGTGTCATAACCTCTCGCGGGTTGGTCGCGTGAAGGGGACACGGGATTAACTAATCGCAATAGTTACGCTCGGGGCAGTGTAGGCAACCGCGTGGGAATGATTTGCAACTTGATGGGGAAATCCCGTCACATGTCCTTCACTTGCACTGTGAAGGAATCGAGCGGTGTCTTGCAACAGAAGTGAAAATTGTCTTGGGTCGAGGGTGCGCTGTGATTGTATTTGTTGCGCGGTGCGATTATCACAAGCTACTACCACAAGCTACTACCATGAGCAAACGCGCAAGTCGGGGTGAAACTTACTCGGTGAATAGAGACATCGACCTAACGCGGTGAGCCGATTAAGCGAATAGGAATGGTTGACATCATGGCGGTGAAAGTGAAAGGGGCATGTAAATATAATATTGACCTGGAAATTTTGTCTAGGTGGTATCCAACTCCGCTAATGCGAATGCGACGTCTAGTCTAAGAAAGTAAAAAGGTTTGTATGTACAACATTGAGAGCGCGGTCGGCCTCGCGCTCTTCAATGACACAGGAGATGTTGATCTCGCTGGCGCCTGGTAAATGTTAGCAATGAAGCAGCTTTGAAATGGAGAACAAACGTACCCTGAGAAATCATCTCGATGTTGATGTTGTTCTGGCCCAACACGCTGAAGAATCTACCAGAGATACCAATCATGTTCTTCAGCTGCTTACCGACCAAGCTCACAATGGCCATGTCGGGCACAATGTCAATAGTGCCGAGCTGGCCAAGGTCGTTGACCGCACCTTGAAGATCCTTGCTCTGGATCTTGTACTCATCCTCACCCCCACCACTCAAAAGGGCGGATTCAGAGTGCAGAGCCATGGACACGTGGACCTCGGAAGAGGAGATGAGGTCGACAGAAAGGTGCCATCGATCGAGGATGCTGAAGATGTTCATCAAGAAACCATGGGCACGAGTGCGCTTGTTGCTGTGCACGTTCAGCACGACGATGTTGTGCTTGATGGTGACCGCAGTGGGGCGCTTGGGGCCTTCTAGCTGAGTGAGGAGGCTCGCGGAACGAGTGCGGAACAGCTTCCCATCTTTCAGGGGCGCACGACCGTCAATGTCCTTCAGGTTATCCGGGAAGATGATGGTACCGGCATTGCGCGGGTTCATCACGTTCTTAATACGGATAGGGATGCGGGCGCGGATGACCTGCTCCATGGTGAAGGGGTGGATGACCTCAGACCCGTAAAAGGTCAGCTCAGCAGCCTCGGAGGGCGTGACAGTGGGGAGAAGGGCGGCTGTGGGGACCTTGCGCGGGTCTGCCGTGAAGATGCCGTCCACCTCCTTCCAGACCTGAAGTTCTTTAGCCTGAGTGCCGACGGCCACCAGCGCAGCGCAGAGGTCGGTGTATCCACGTCCAATAGAGTTGAGCAGTCCGCCGGGCACGTTGCCAAAGTATCCAGTGATAACGGGCACCTTGTCGCCGCACGCTGCCACCTCTTTGCCCAGGTCCTCGGCCAGGTCCTTGTAGAACTTGTCGTTGAGCCCGCCCTTGATAGGCGCATGGAGCCTGACAATGTCGCTGAGGTCGACAAACTGGGCCGGGGTGCCGCGATCGTTCAGAATGGCGGCCATGTAGCGGCAGCTCAGCTTCTCGCCCTTGCTGATGATCTTGTCCTCGGCGCGGTTCGTGACTTCCTCCAGGTGTTGCGCGGATTCCAGGATCTTGACGAGGCTCTCACACTCGGCATTGACCTCCTCCGTGTACGATGCCAGAATGTCCGGGTTCCTCAAGATGTCCCTGCCGGCCTGGATGTGGTCGGTGCGGATGGCCTCGACGATCTCGTCATAGCCGCGGTGGTTGGGCTTTTCGGCAGCGCGGGCGGCACGAAGGAGGCGGTTGGTGGTTCCCTCGAGCTTGGTGTTGCTGCTGCGTGCGGAGCAGACAATGGCGGCGCGGTTCGTCGCAAGACCAGCTCTGTTTACTGTCAGCGCCTTCCATCTGGCGGGGGTTGGGATGGGTCGCACTTGACGATGCCCGCTATGTTCTCCGCAAACTTGCCCACGCTCGTGCCCCCGAACTTGAGGACAACCCAGCCTCCAGGTAGGTGCTTCTCTTCCGTGTGAGCTATCCGCTCGGACTGGTGTGTGGTTCCGTTTGTGTATGCAGACATGGTGGTGTTGTGTGGTTTCTCCAAGCAATTGGCGAGGTAAAGTTTCCTAGATGTTGGTATATATAAATGATGTATGGAAGACGTGTTATTCTCAGTAAATGACGTGTGTTGTGTCGTGTGAAGTCTGGAGTCGCGGAGTGAGGGAATTCTCAATGTCTTTTAGTGGGGCCTGAGTCAGAAAGTCCATGTTCGCGCCCGCAATCGGCGCCGGCGCTGCTGACGCCATGCCAGCGAACCACGACTCCACAGCCCAGGAACATGCACACACACACACCTCAACGGAACGGATCGGTGCATGCGCATATCCTCTCGGTAGCCAATGATGCGCTCGCTATTCAACTACTGCGCCTTTGTCCGCACCCTTCGCAGCCCACGTCTCAACACCACGTCCTCTGGCGCCTCTGATACCTGACAGCTCACGCCTCTTATCGCGTCTTAGCGCGTCGTCTAAATTACCGTGTCGTCCGCGTCCGACTACGTGCCGGTAGTTGCCTTTTGGCCCATCGGCTATTCGTCCTCTCTGTCTTGTGCACCACATGTGCGACACACAAGCAACAATGGTATTATCTAGCCATCTCTAGCCGACGGGGAATTGATCCGAAGATGTTCACGTCCATACATCAGGAATATGCGTCTAGAAATCCGTCGCTCATCAACGACGCTGCGTAAATCAACTTGGAAACCCGCTTCGCTAACCCCTAGTATACTCTAGCAGATCTCGCAAGGTTGCCTCATCCTCAATCTCAAGCGCTCGACTTTGCAGGCTTTGCAGTTCCTCTTGGCCGTAGCTACCGCGCGCCAATAATTTACCAACAATACTTCGATACCCTTTACCAACTGCTTCAGCTAGAGCGTTCCCTATCTCTGCATTGTACTCTAGAAGAAGAGAAACAACAGCAAACTGTCCATGCCGTACTGCTGTCTCCAACGCCGATTTACATGTATCCGCACCATGTCCTAGCAACACCCGAACTACCTCCTCATGTCCGTTTCGACAAGCGCCTAGAAGGGGTCGCTTCTCGTACTCACTAGACGAACCAATGCCGTCCACACGGGCACCAAGTGCAAGATAATGCACCGTCATATCCACCCACCCATTCCTCGCGCTACGCACTAAGAATGCCGTGTATTCCTCAACACCAAACGTTCTGGTAACGCAGTGTTCGATTCGTTTCTTGACAAGAAAGTCATAGATCTCCAAACTAGGTGTGTCCAGCGCAGCCAACGCTCGTTCGTTCTGACACCAGTAGGAAGGTCTCTTTGTCTTTCTGTCAAGCATCCACGGACGTTCCACAGCCTGGAAATTCCACAAGAACTGCGTCGTTTCTACACGTCCATGCTTGGCGGCCTGTTGGAGCAAGCGCATTCGCATGTACTGAAAGTCATAGGGATGCCTCAAGTCCAGCATAGCGGCAAGAACCTCATGACTGCTGAAACTACCAGCGTGGATGCATGCCGATCCAAAGAGCAAACTTGGCGTATTGAAATGGTTTCCGTGGAGGATCCATCTCGCGAGAATAGGGAGTGTCTGTGTGTACAGGGCAGCAATATAGACATCGGTGTCCAGATCATTATCATACAAACGCCCGTCATGCCAGTGCTCAGGTAGGTAGGTTTCACGCCAATGCTCAGCTAGGTCTGTTGTCCATAGTTCGTCTAGGCGCTTGAATTCCCGCAACACCAGGGGGCATAGCTGACGAATGTAGTCGTGCTCGTTTCGCTCATCGTCGGTCTCTTGACTGAGACGGTTGGCAACCCTGCGGATCCAGAGTAGAACAGGAGCCCCGTCACATCGCTCGTTCAATACCCGGCGCTCAAGGTAAGCTACAAACATAGTAGGTGCAGCCTCGTCGCTAAGATGTAGCAAAGGCTTGAACTCGGCATCCAGAAGCTTGTATAGGGCAAGTACCCTCATGATTTCCCCATCGAAGATCTCTATGGCCGCTCGTTAGCAGAGGTACCTGCGCACAAGATGTCAGAGGGAAGCCTACTATTCACAAGCCGTAATCGAAGGCCGCGCTTTGTTCCCCGCATTAAGATCGCCCAGCTAAGGATTTCGTGCAAAAGCTCCAGCGGCAGATCTAGCAGATGCATGGTGGATAGAGTGGTCGGCGTTGTAAACAGGATAGCTACTGGGGAGAAGAAGGACATTTAAGAAGCATTTAAAGCGTTCAGCGGCTCTTGTTGTTGGAACACATTCGGGCCCGAAAAGTCGCGCTAAGGAGGACGTCGGAACCACTTGATTGGCTACCAGTATACAGTGGACTAAATCAAGAGGTTGTATAATAATTATTTTTGCCCTATAAAAAAATTAAAATCTCTACCTACCTAAAACTTACTACCTTAACTACTTTTATATAAGAGTGTAATACTACTATATAGTATATATACTAATATCTTTAGCTAGACACTTTATTATTAACTTAGAACTCTATAGAGATAAACTTACTAAACTATATAGTATAGACTATATAGTAGAAAAGTTAAAATTCTAGCTAAACACTAAGCGCTAGATATACGCGTTTATTTATATAATTAAAAAGTAGCTAAAAAAGTAAAAGTTAAAGAAAAAGATAAAACTAGAAGTAGAAAAGTATTTTAAGTAGCTTATATAGTACTTCTTTTATAAGTTAAAACTTTATAATAAAAAAATACTAAAAAAGCTTAAAAATAAAAGCTATAATATCTTAAAGTAGATATTAATCTATATATAGTTTTAGCTTAGATTAAAAAGAAAAGCTATAAGTA